CTGCCTCCATTATACTCCTTTGTGCACGCACATCAGAGGGAAGAAAATGCATGGAGGAATGTGAGGTGGACACTGAAGGAAGCCAGGGGAGGATAACTGTGGGGAGGAAGACAATAAAGTGACAGGAAAGGAAAAGGTGATAGTAAAATAGAATAGAAAGTAAAAGAAGGGGGGAAAAAGGGGAGACAGTGACCTGGAAACGAAAAAGAGAGATGGCATTCCTGTGAATTCTGTGGATAATACTCAGCACATCTGTCTTAATGTGGTTTGATGTCTTGTCATAGTGCTGACGTGGTGCATCAGTGCAGGGGTTTCTAGTGCAGCATGGTAAGCTCACAATGTGCTGTTTTACAGGTCCTCAGTAGCTTCTGGACAGTTAGAATCAGGACAATAATACCAGTGGAGAGAGTAATGCTGCAGGTGAGGTGTAAATAGATGAAAGAGACAGTGTGTAATGAGAGACACAAATGGAAAAGACAGAGAAACTGGAAGAAAACTGAAGAAGGGACAGGGAGAGGTTCGTGAACAGACAGCTTTCCAGAAACAAGCCTTTGTTCTGTTATGGACAGTAAGTACTCCTGGCAGAAATGCTCTCTCAAGTGGGAGCTGACAGGAGCTGGGAAAGTTAAACTCACTGACCTCAGACGGAAAATGGAGTGTGTGTTTAGAGGGAGTAAACTAAAGCAGGAGAGTGAAGGAACGTTCCTACCTAAAAATGTGGTAGGATATGTTACAGTGACCTGTGCTGGAAAGGTGTGACACTTGTTCTGCAGCACTCACGTGAGTAGGTGTAGCACAGTATGCATCAACTTATAAAATGTGGCTGCTGTTTGGAAAGCCAAGATAACACTTTCCCTTCAGGGAAGCATAGAGCTCAGCCACTGGGTGGTTAACTGGGTACCTGCAGGGTGTCAAAAAAAGCCCAAAGCATAGACATTTGTTCTTTGGTCTATGCAACTTTTTTTTTTTTTGAGAGGGAGGATTTTTTAGAAATTGAGTATTTTTTTTTTTCATTTCCATTCACCATTTTCCTGCTATTTTTCAGGGTTTTTAAAACCAAAACCAAATTCGGATCCTTTCTTTTCAGTCTCCTCTTTTCAGGCTTGGGCTTTCTGAATTAAATGCTGCAATATTAGCTGCCTGCAGTTCCTGTGATTGGACTCCATGGGTGGCCCAAGTAATTTCCAGACAATGCAGCTGGTTCTTTTCTCACTCACACCACTGCAACTCATTGGCTTCACTGAAGTTACTCTTGATTCACAGTGTTGTGAAAGAAGAGTTGTGCTTGGTCTTTCATATGTTCTTTGATCTCCATGGTATTTTTGTTTACATGTATAATTGATTTTCTGGGAATATATCTTGCTGCTGACAGGTAGACCTAGGAACTTCCTAAGACAGAAATAAATGTAAGCATTTTTTTAGGTCACTGAATTCAATCCACTGCTTCTACAACACCTTGTTATATAATTTCTTTCATAAACTCCTCAGGCTTTAAACATTCGTTAAGATCTATTCTTACTACAATGGGTAAATTCAGACATAAAGGTTAGTTACATCCTGTGTAAATTTAAAACCACAACTGAAATAATCTTCAAATGCTCTAAAAGTATTTTTCTTTCTCACCTATGTCTCACTTTTCAGTACACCAGCCAAGATAAAGGTTTCATTCTTGGCAGAAGGAGGCTCAGCTCTGGGAAAGCACGATTCTGAAATTACAGGCATACTTTGGAAAGGTTACTGTGTATTTTTCTTTTATGGTCACATCCCTCTTGCAGATTTCAGTGGGACCAGTCATCTGACAACAAATTTTTACCATACTTGAAGTGCCACTCTGAAAGTAATTCCAGAAGGAGAAGGGTACAGAACAGGTGTGTACCACTCAGCTGAGGATAGATTACTGCAGACTTTGACTACTTATCCTGGGCTGCCTTCCAATTACTGCCCTGTTGTAACAAATCCCATCCATTTTATCCAAATTTGCTCTTCATTTATGGAATGAATGGGTCTAATTGACATGAAGTTGAAAATCATCAATATAATCAAGAAGTTTTATTGCAATTAAAGGATCGATGAAAAACACAGCCCTATTTTTCTCTTACATAGTACAAATAAGATGATTCAGCAGAAGCCAACAGAATTATGCTGCTACCTCAAATGCTACAGTGATACCTTCCCATCCTCCCTACCTTTGCTATGCATATGTGTTGATATGGAATACACTGTTATTTTTTGCCTTGTGTTGCTAAATCTCTGTTCTGCAGCTCACCTTAGCAAGCCCATTGCCAGTACTTCCCTTCTGTTCTGAAGCCTCACTTCAGAAGCTGCAGCTGTTACCAGAGAAAGTTCTTGGCAATTGCAGGGGCAACTTCGGTTTGCAGGAGCTGGAAGGTGATGGCTGCACATCACAAGGGAGGGAGGAAGAGGTGTATTAGTTGTGAAAGCCAGATTGTGGCCACTGTACAGCAGCCAGTTGGCTGTGATAGTGCTCTGGTGGCTCTTTATCCCACCCTTTGGCTATTCCATTTCTGATGCAGAAAAAGGTGCTCCTGTTGCATCATGCAAGTACAGTAAGCCTTATACTTTTAGGACTTGCTGGAAATGCTCAAAGTAATGGTGTGGTCTGTTCATGGAACGCTTTGTAGAAGTGGTAGAGCACTCCCTCAGTTTTGTAGGCATTACACTACCTGTAGAATTTGGGCCTATGGTGTTTGCTCTGAGGTCTCTGGGATTGCTGGACATGGGAGATCCAAGGTTGAGACTGCTGCACATATGCAATGATGAGATTATTAGATACCAGAATCCTAGATGTACACAGTTCAAAATCCTAGATACACAGTTCTCAAAATCTCCCTGGAAAACAATTCTGGTTGGAAAAGAGGACAGACAACCAATCTAAGACAACCTAGATATGGTAGCCATATCGAGCCATGACTCGTGTCCCTTCTACTGCAAAGCCTTCATGCTTCCCCATAGCTAGTTCTTTGTTTGCAAATTTTCTTTGTCAAAAGTGTGAGAGGTACCCTGCTGTATGCTCATGTGGAGAGCAGCTGCCAGTCAGTGCATCACCATGCTCACCTTTACAGTCAGCAGCTCTCAGCCCAGCAGGTGTTATGGGGCTGTTGAAAGAGGCCATTGCCCCTGGTCACGATCTGCTGCGTGCTCAACAACGTGCTGATCTCAGGCCAAGAAGAGAGCAGTGAGGCAGGACAAACTTGTTTTTTTTCACCCACGCAGCACACTGGGCCAGAGGAATTCTTTGGTAGGCTGTATGCTACACAGGCCTGATACAGAGGCAGGCCTGAGAACAACCATTTATGTCTTTACTGCCACTGCAGGTCCTCTGCACCCCAGAAGTTCACTGCTTGTCCTTTCACTTAAAAGAGAAAAGGGTATATGTAAAGAAACTTTGAAGTCACTGATACTGTATTAAGCAAAAGTGAGGGCTGTTCTTTGTAAGGTGAATTAATGAAGAAAAAATTCTCCTGGAATTTTTATGGTTTATGTGATCTTAAAAGTGGTTTATGATTCTACCATGGAGTTCTTAGGATTCAGTGGCTATTCTGATTCATTAGAAATTGAAGATGTAGTAGAAAACAAGTTGAATATTCATTTATATCGAGTGATATGACATCAGAGTAAAACACGAGGTTTTAATCTTAATTTCACTAAGAAATTAAGTGATTGTGTTGATATTGTGTTCATATGGTATTGCTGTCTTTATTTCTCCATCTGTTTTTGAAATGGAAGGAGATCGGAAGCAGGAGCGGGATCCCCTTCACTTGTCTGAGGACATCTCATAAAATTTTGTTAACAAAAATCAATTCAAAAGCTGGTCAGTCATAAGACACAAGTCCACAGGAAAGCAAACTTCAGTAGCTCCGATGTTTACACAAACACCTGGTCATTGGTTCATGCCCAGCAATGGATTATGCCAAGCTGGCTGCAAACAGTTAGAGATGCTGGCACTGTGCCCTGCCCACCTCCCACAGGTTCCCACTTCTGCAGCAGGAATGGCTCAATGCCTCTTTAATCAGCACCTGGCTTTCTGCATTTTGCAGATTGGCGCATTAAGGCAAGCCAACATCAGTTTCTAGTCAGGCTTAAGCCAGAGCATTCCTGCTGTGGGAGATGCCTTGCAAGAGAGTTCAGTGTACATAGCGGGGTAGATGACTTGTCAGCTGCAGCTTAAACCACAGGATGAGATGTATATTAGTACCCATATCATTATTTTGTTAGAGGAGAATTTTTACTTTATTAATCAGAAATCATTAATGGAAATGTAAAATTGAGCTGGTTTAGGATGTGGATGATAGCAGAAGAATGCCAAGAGGAACAGTCATGACCATTATGTTTTCTAGTTGGTGAAAGACTATGTCTATCCAGTGTATTTAATTTTGTCAATGTAAGTTTGCTTGTTTTTCAATACAACAGCTCAAAAATGTAAAATAAAAAAAAATTTGTCATAAATCACAGCATTGAATTTAGTAAATGGCAAGTATCGGCAGTACCTGTTCTCTCTGTGATGGGTGTGTTCCCCATGGCTCTGTGCTGTACAGTGCTCCCAAGGAGTGCATAAATGGATTCCTAGGGCACGAACGGTCACGTCAGCATTTTTCGCATGACACATTTCAGACAACCGGGCTGTGTAAGTGAAAGACACAGTGACTAAAATGTTGTTGGGAGGTGAGGTGGCAGGTCTGGCTGGCCTTTATCCCGCCCCAGCACAACCACCACGAACATTCAGCAGCGTCCAGGGCCCGTGTGCCCATGGTGGCAGCTCGCAGGGGCACCGCTGGCACCGGGGCCCGCTGCCCGCGCGGGCGGTCCCGCCGCGCGCTGTCCCCGCGGCTGCGCTGGGGCCGCGCTGAGGAGCTGCGGAACGGCCCCGGGCCATTCCCGTGGGGGCCGAGCCCCGCTCTGCGCGGCCTTCCCGGGGCCGGCTGCGGCGAGGGGCTGCGGAGAGGGGCCGGCTGCGGAGAGGGGGCGGCTGCGGAGAGGGGGCGGTGGCCGCAGCGCGGGGCGGGCGGGGGGAGGGTCCGGGGAAGCCGCGGCCCCTCGGGGGCGGCGAGCGGAGCCCGGCGGCAGGTGGCGGCGGCGGCTCGGCCCCTTTAAGGCTACGGCTACCGTAACCCGATCCCCGCCGGAGCATCCTGCGCCCGGGAAGGGCTGTCCCGTCCCCGACGCCGCGGGGAAGGCATGGAGGAGGAGGAGGCGGCGCCGCAGCCCCCGTAACCCCGGTCCCAGGTCGGGGCGCGCTGACAGCGCAGGGCTGCGCGGAGCCGCCGCCTCCCGCGGCCGGAGCGAGCGCGGAGCCTGCCCGCTGCCTGCCCGCTGTTGTGCTCTGCTGCCTGCCCCTGCCCGCTGCTCCGCGCTCCTGCCCGCTGCCTGCCTGCCTGCCCGGCGGCCGCTCGGGGCCGGTGCGACCGGCGGGCGCCGCGGGTGACCGGCACCGGGAGAGGTAATGCCCGGCTCGGGGCAGCGTCCCTCGGGGTCAGCCCGGGGCCCCTCCGCGCCCACCGGGTGTGGGCGGGGTCCCTCCTGGGGCTGTGCGGCTCCTGACTGATTGCGGGGTTTGAGGGAATTCGGTGAATGGTATCGCAGCGGCCACCTCATCCTGAGGACACTGCCTTTATAATAATGCTTTATCTGCCGGTTGCTTTGATGTTCTGTGAGCAGAAAGCTGCGTGGAGTTTAGGGTGTGAATAGCCTTGAATAAAAAGGGAACAGCTTAAGTGTGAGCAGCTTGAATTTTGTTGTGTTTCTCCCTAACGCTGCTTACTGAGCAAATAAGATATCAAACGAATAGGATCTACCATTCAGAACCGAGAGCACAGCAAAGCTCCAGCACTGCTATTGTTACTGGGCTTATTATAAAATGTGGAAACAGTCAGTAGTTCAGTGTTGCTCTCTGCAGATTGGTCTGACAAGTTTTGCAGCTGTTGGATTTGACTTTCAGTTTTAAGTGGATCAGGAGAGCACAGTATTTCATGCGATGTCCTGGTATCAATAGCAGCTTTACGGTGTAATCTTGTTTGGAAATTGATCCAACTCATCTGGAAATCCAGCCTCGAAGAAAGTAAGGGCTGTGGGCCTTAAACCTTCCACTGCACCTTCTTGCCGTGTCTCGTTCTACTGTTGCATGCAGAAACAGTAAGAGGAGGAGAATGTGAATGCTAAATGCTTTTGATGGTACAACACTTGATAACTTTCCTGCTCCTTTATCCTCTTTCATTAAGTGCTAACTTATTTCTATCAGGAGTTCATAGTGTTATCATATTGGAGGTGAATGGATATTGCTTTTTCTTGTAAATTTCAAGTGGAAACAGAATTGCAGGAAAACCACTGCATGTCAATAGCAAATGAAAACAAACATATTTTTAGCTCTTACCAGAGTATGACAAAAAAACCTGTGTTATTAACCTCTTCAAAGCTATTGGGTCAATGGAGTAATTTGAAATCACACTAGGCATGTAAGCAATACCTTGCTGCAAAAATGTTAGTTTCAAGTATTTGGTAATATTTATTTACCTAAAGACTCCATTGAAAAGCTACAAGAGTGAAGTTCTGATCATATGTAGTTACTGTCTAACCGAATGTTTAAGACAGTAATTTTGGGTAAGCAAGGCAAGTGCTAATGGTGGAGAACCAACCTGAATATTGTGCTGTTTTTCCTGCATTACAAAGTAGTTACACTACACCTGCTCCCCAGCCAGCCTCCCATTAGCTCAAACCCTGTATCAGCTGACAGAACAGTAATCAATGACTATGCAGTTTGGGTGATAAAGTGTCTGCTCATACATAATCCACAAAGTTCTGTATCTTGATCAGACTTTGCTGTACAGCTATAAGAAGATACTTGGGGAAAAAAACCCCACAGTGTAGTTGAAGCTGCCTGGCTTACTAACTTTGGACTTTGTCAAGGAAAATTGTAATCAGAAGCTAATTGTTCTTGTTTTAAGTCAACAAGCACAATGCAACAGGCTACTTAGGTTCAGCAACATGAATAATTTTTCTTGTAAATGAAAAGAAAAAATCTGGTAAAGACCAGTAAATTTTCATGTTAAACAGGATACAGTTGAAAACAATGTAGAGATATGAGAAAATAACAACCTATAGATATGGGACAATGTTTGTAGCTGAACTTATATGAAATGCTGTATTTACACAAGGTCCTTGAACTGAACTAAAATATGACACTATTAATTGCTGAGGTAAAGCATAAAACTATTCTGGACTTGGTAGTTACTATACTTAAACAGCATCTTGATAGGCATATATGAAATCAGGCTTGCAAAACTTGAGCATCTGTGAGACCAACCAGGGAGGCTTAGTGATTAATTTTTTGCCTGCCTCTCTTCTCTAAAACCATTGCACCATTCTCCTTCATGGGCATCGTGGTTCTGCATTTGCTGAAAGTCAGGTCATGCACTTTCCATGCAAGGACCTTCCCTCCACAGGCTCCTTAGGTGAAACATTAGTCTTCTAATGCAGTTCTTTCAAGGGATGCTTGCAAGGTTTGTTTAATTCCATAATCTGTACTAAAATGAACACCTGTCAAAAGCTGAAACATTACTTACCTAATATAATCTTCTAAGGTAACAAAACAAAACAGGGTTTTCTCTTGTCCAAGGGATTATGTCAGTGTCTTTGGCATCAAGAGATACTAGTGTAGTCACTGAAGATTAATAAAACGTAGCATCATGAGAATTGCTATATTTTAGTCAAAAGGATGACGTAGGTGTGGTTAATGCTCAGTAGTTTTGCTATTTTTCTGAAGAGATTTGTACTTAATGTGGATTTTGTCTTCCTTCATTAAACCAACTGATAATTTCTTTGTCCTTACATTGTCCAAGAGAAGACTTGGTTGCTACATATGAGATAATGTAATAACAAAGTTTTGTCCTTGGGGTTAGAATCTGGAACTGGACACTATACAGCGCTTCTCAGTGAGTTTAAACTGGTAGATACTAAATTGTTTTATTCCTTCAAATGGTAAGGTCTTAGAAAATTGAGATTAACACCCATTGTCTGGTACTTTACACTATATGAAATGGATATAAAGTTTGGTTTGTGTTTTGTGTCTTCTTGATCAGTGTAGGCAAATGAAGAACTATGTGGAGAATCAAGAATAGTGAATAATCAGGATTGTTATTGAAATTGGAAGTTTTGATAGGGTAACAAAAAAGTATGCAGGACTTATATGCTGCTGCACTAGAACAGGTAATCAGAAAACAACTGGAATAAATTCATTGAATGCAATGCACTGCAGTGTGTGTACTTCAGAATTTTAGTTTAGATTAAAAATGCATTTATAAGCTGAATCACCCCCTGTGATTTGTGTTGCATAGGTGTCCCAGAGCATGCAAAGTCTGGGATATTAGTTTTTATTAGTCCTTTTGGGTTCAACTGAGCAGGAAGATGGGTCCTAGGAGCACATCAAACATGTTCAAAGAATTGTGGAGTCCCTAGGACAGAATTAAAGCTGGTCTGAAGTAAGCACTTGAAATCTACATGATAGAGGCAGATTTCACTCAGCAAATCTGCTCTTGTTTTTCCTGTGTTCTGTTTTTATATCTGTAGCTCTGTGGGTACTAATCAGAGGAAGTTTTGTCTTCAGTTCTGGGAGAATAAATAAAAAACAAAGAAGTAGAGAGGGAAAAGTTTGAGAAACCTTCTGTTTCTAAATCTTCAAAGATGAAATAATGCTTTTTCTGATCTATATGTTTCAATATACTAACCATTTACACCCCAAGTGAGAATATTGTACTTAATTTTAAAAAGTTATTATTTTGATATTATGATGGACCTTTTCCTCTATTTTCTTCCTGAAGTTCAAGTTTCTTACCATCTGCAATGCAGATACAATTTCAAAGATCTAAGGCATGTTCACTTGTTCTGTAATGCACATGAAAAAAAGGTGGACATAAATGTATTACATCATTGTATTGCTTTTGCTGACCATAAGGTTGCTGTAGTAAAATCAAATTATGCTATCCTAAAAGTCTTCATTTTATGTTTAGATATTTTCTTAAGTACAACTAAAATAAGTAACAGCATTTTTTTGTATAGATATTAAAATAATTATTTAAATATTTGAAATGAAGGCTGTTTGGCTTTTTCCTCCAGTTTCCAGTTCAACTTAATATAAATTGACATTTTTTGAGTTTGTACCTTTTGCCAGTCTTGGAGTGCAAACCACTTGACTGTCAAATTAGAGATGCATGTCAGAGGTTTGTGGCTTTTGGGAAAATATCATTCTGTGTTGCAAATACTGGCGACTCAGGAAAAACGACTGAAGCATTTAGAGACTGACAGTTCTGTTTGGAATTGTTCTGGTATTTAGACCTCATGAAACAGCTGAACATCCAGCAAGTGAAAAGTCAGTCAGCTCTGACGGGAGAGGCTTTGCACTGGGTAGCAATGTGGGGAGGTTGGAGTTGTGTGAAGGAGGAAAGCTCCGATGCAACAGCCCACAGCCCTTCCCAGGGACGAGCTCTCGGCTGAGCCATGTGAATGGAGAGCTTCTGTCTCTGCAAAGTGCACAAACAGAGCTGCAGCGAGGCTACTGCTTCTCTGGCTGACCCAAAAACCTCTTCTGTGCTTCCTTGATTGCGTTGTTGCGTTTTAAACTCCTGTTGGCAGCAGTCAATCTGGCAATAATGAAACAAGTTTTGACTTTGGAGGTTCTTGAGGGAGGAGTGGAGGCTGCAGAGCTGGCAGTTGGCCTGGTCAGTGGTCTTCACTGCCCTTTCTGTGTAGATAAAATACATGCAATTTTAGGCCACAAAAATGCCTAATATGCAAATGTTAAAAACCCGAAACTAAAATGCAACTTGTGTATCTAAAAGTTTGGACATACTTTTATACTGTTAATGCTTAAGTAGAGACACCAAACAGGTAGAAACTTGTAGTGAATAATATCTCTGTTTATAAGTTTGCTATCAAAAACAATTTCTGTGTTTGCTTAAAATAGTTAAATGGAGAATAGAGTGAAATTACCTTCTGCTTCTCTTCACAGGTTGAAGAACAATGGCTTCCTTCAGCAACCTGACTATTGGTGTTGCTCTTGCCAGTTTTACTGTATTTCAGCTCTTGTTCCATGTTGTAAGTTCTTGGGTGTCAGCACAGATAACACCTGGTTTTAACAATCTCAGCCAAAAAAGGAAGATCGAATGGAATTCAAGGTAAAGTGTTCGAAACAACAACAGTTAAAGATTTACCTGAAATCATGAACATTTAAACCACCTGTGTGTGTATGTGTAAGACTGAAGAAAACCCTGTTAGTTAAAAGTAAAGATCAGAGGGCTGGCACTGGACAAATAATGCATGTGAAATGTTGAGGCCCCTTCATGGAGACACAGCATTGCTAGCACTTGTACATTAAATGCTTTGTTAGACAGTGATGTCCAAGTAAAGGTCAGTACAAAGATAAAGCATTGACTGGTGAGAAGTAATAAACTGAAAGGACGCTCTGTGATGCTTCTAGTAAAGAGAAGAGATAAAAAATTCCTTTCCAAACACATATGAAAATCAAAACTATTGCCATTTATTCTAAATCCCAGTGTATCTCTGGTCATGCTTTCAGGAGCAAATGAAAGTAGTTTGTTCACCTGGTGCTACTACACTACAAACTGTTTCATATAGGTTAAGGCTTCCCAAGGAATTTAATGCCACTTTGGTGTAGTATTGAAAAGAGTCAGGTTCATGTGTGTTGTAGGGAAAGGAGACTGCAGGAGGAGGAGGGGAAGCTGTAGCAGACACAGGGTACACATGCAGGAAGGAGTTGTGGAAACTCTGTCCGAAACCATTCCTCACTCTGTGTTTCTGCATTTCCATCAGTGGGATGGATCCACCTGCATTTCACTTGTCCCCTCAGATACAGGACTTTGAGAAACTTGTTTGACCCATGAGTCTTTTAAGCCATAAGGGAAATATAAGATGGTAATGGAAAGTGGGGTGATCAATGAGGTTTTGTTTGCAACATACTACTCTGAAAGGGTATATATAGTACACAAGGTTCTCCAGTTGAAATGAATAGGTACAGTATTCCTTTGAGTAGCCTATTACAACTTCAAAATATTTTTTCAGATGTTTCCCAAATTTAAAGCTCAAAAATGTGTACTGTGTGGTTGTCACTGCATTCCAAATGCATTAGTTGCAGTTGTGTTCCTCCTCAGTGCTGTTTAGTGTCAGGTGGATACAATAACTTTGAAAGTTGTTTCCATTGTTCTAGGCAGCATTAGCAACTCAAATAGCCTTGCCCTTCCATTTGGCAAATGTCCACTTGCAGTGTTCTTAAAGGCACCATCTTGATTTCAGTTCCATCTTTGAATAATTACCTGTCTGCCAGAACAACTGTGTAGGATGCCAGTTCACAGTACCACTGCAGCTTAGGGTTACCTCTCTGTTCCAATTAACAATAAGAGGCAGACAGGGAAAGTAAACTAAACTGTTCCCTTGTGAAACTGAACTATTGTCTATAGCCACATCAAATGGCCTTTGAATTGCATAATAGGCTTTATGAGAACTTACCCTATGCCTGGTAGCACTATGCTGGTGTAGTGCTTTGCATAATAACATGAATTGTTTTACACATCACAAGTGTGCTGGAAATAAGCTGCTCCATAATCTCTGGGCTACTTTGCAGTAAGGTGTTTAACTGCTCAACTTGATACAGTACCCCAAACTATGTCCTTTTTTACCTCTTTGCACAGTTTTTTTTTTCCTTGGGGTTGAGAGCAGGATGTAGATATTGATACAGTACCCCAAACTATGTCCTTTTTTACCTCTTTGCACAGTTTTATTTTTCTTGGGATTGAGAGCAGGATGTAGATACTAGCACACAGATGGGTTGTGATCCCAGGCTTCATCCAGTTCAGGAGTTAGAAGGCATGAAACACAAAGCATGGTTCATCAGCATCTTGTGGATGTTATAACTGAGGAGGACATGAAGGGAAAGAAAGGCTAGCTGTGCCTGTGTTACTTCAGCTCTGCTAACCAAACACAGTGTTTTGTCAAACTGCCCTGTCACTCCAGTGTTTCACCGAAATGAAGAGAGGCCTCAAGGAGTATCTTGCAAGTTCAGAGAATGCAGAGGAGTATGTATTTATTCTGCAGAGAGCTCTGCAGGTAGAGACAGTTACTATGTCCCAGTAAAATATGTTGGTTTCATTTAAATTATTTAAAAGTGGATGGTTGTTATTTTGTCCTATATTGAACTGGTGTAGGGAGTGCACACACAAATGATTCTGTTGGCAGTGCTAAGGAAACTGGCACAGAGGATGGTTATGCATTTTTATCAGCTCAGCTGGGTCTGGAAGAGGGCATCTGACTGAAATGAGCTATAGCATTGAAAATATATTGTTACAGTTTGGAGGGCTTCGTAATCAAGCATTTGAGCTGCAGCTCTTGACTCAGTATTTTCCATGCTGTCAGTTTGTTCATTCTGACCTTCCAAGAATTATGAACCAATAAAGTAATTGCTTCTGGCATCTGAAATATATGGACACTCAAATTGAGTTAAAAACTGTATTTGGTCACAGATGTAGTATAACTCTTCAAGTTGTGCATAAATTCCTGTTGCCTCTCCTGTAATACATGCTTGTAATGCTATTAAGTAGTTGTGGAAAAAAAAAAATTCAATAATAAAGAAGCAAGTCTGCAACCTAGCATTGCAGCTTTTTTTGTTTGCAGCTTAATGAGGAGTTAAAGGATGCAAGCTTTGAAAAGAATTTCAAGGAAATGTACAGAGCTTGATAGCTTGACCTAGATTCCTTATTAAAATGGTCTGTTGTACTATTTCCCTTTTTCTCCCCTGTCTGTGGAGAAGCTTCAAAGTCCAGAGTTAAGGAGGAAATCTGCTGCCTTTTTTTTTCTTTTATTTCACTCCCATCAAGTGTTTTAGTTGTCTATAACTTGTATTCTAAACAGGAAGGTTTAGGTAAACTGCCTCTTCAAAAACAAATTAGAACTATAAACTAATGAGCTATATTTTAGGACAAATTTTCTTTCTTGTAGTATTATCCTCTCCTCAAGTTCAAAAATTCCAGGTATTTCTCAGACACTAATACTGCATGTTCTGCTTTGTTTTTAAAAAGCAAGAAAAGTTCCTATCTTTTTAAATCTTGTTTTACAAAAGTAAACATTTTAATTAAACTATTAATTATCATTAAAATTCTGATAATTAAATTTTCTGTCTTTGTTAGAAGAAGAGAGGGCAAAAGTGCAGCCTGTGCTGTAATGATTATTAATTGTTCTCATCCAGTTTTTGACTACTCATATTATACTAATCTCCATTCATTTTCTGGCACACTATTGAAAAAGCTGCTGAAAATAGCACAGTGACATTCTTGAAACAAATTGTAAATACAGTCTCTTTTATGAATAGTTACCAGAATCTTCTATTGCCAATAGATAATAGTACCACTTCTGGAAATGGAGCAGGGATTATAACCTCTTTCTTTGCAAAGTCTTCTGCAGGAAGGAAGATGATTTCTTCAAATCTTGCATGGTAGAGCTTAGATTCCAGAGAGTGCCTTAAGGACATCTAAAATATTAATGACTTCCAAATATATGTATTCAATATGTACAAAGACAGGAATAATAACTAACAGCATCTGTGCATTTGTGTGTGTATTGTTGGTGCTGTGAATATGGTGTGAAGTGTTTCCAGTCATACAGCACTGAACTTAGCTCTCATCTTTCAAGCAGTATTTGTGATTCCTATGGATATTTTTTCACTTTTTTTTACTTTGTAATTACATTTGGAAAGTGAGAAAGCAGACAGTAGCTACATGGTGTTAGGTGCAGCTTACAGTTGTGTTAAACCCGTGGCTAGAGCAGGAAGGTTACACATTTTGGACCCATGCCCATTGCATTGTTCTACCTTCCAAGGATACATGTGGACTGAAAGGGCAGGAGGGGCCCTGGCCTGTGTGCTGGCAGAAACCCTGCTGGGCTTCTGTAAATAGATATTTCTCTAAAAGTGCATGCTTGTTAGCATGCAGAGTTTATCTACAGTGTGCATGCAGCCTGTCAACTGGAGACTGTTGTCTTTGGGGGAACAATGTGTCTGGTACCCAGGTAGGGACAAAGCAGCTTTGATTACTGTGACGTTTGTTTTATATTTCCTTTGTCCAATACAAAGCTGCTAATTGATATAAACCTGTAGCTGTTATACCTTAGGTACTCAGCTTGTATAACTTGGTTGTAGCTTTCTCTTTGAAAACCAAAATCTATTTCAAATTCACTAGAAATTCTATCTGAAGCTTAGGATTTTTTGTTTAATGCCACCTTCCAGATCCAAACTAGACTTATTATGGGTCTTTTAATTTGGTGCCTGAAAGGAGAAAGCTGCTGTTGCAGGACTGCTGGGCTAATCTGAGTATGAATTTGCATATACATTTTTCAGCAAATGGCACAATGCAGAAAACACTTGTTAGAGAGCTAGATGTTGTACTGTCTTTAAGGATTCATTAATATATGGGATAATTGGAAGAAAACTTAGATCTTCCTTACTTTTAAGACTCACTTTGTATCTAATATTGTCAATGCCACTCCAGTCTAATAGATTCCTTCTTCTTGACTGTTTTTTTACACCTGTCATTGTGTAAGTGGTTGGATGTAGCATAGAGAACACATGATTGTCTCCCACAGAAGTATCTGCAGGCAGTTGAGAATGCCTCTGGATACATCCTACCTTAAGCACAGAAGGGGATGTTGTGAATGGCAGTGCCTCCTTGTGACTGTGATCTCTTTTTCAGGACAGTGTCCACATTCCACGCCCTGGTGGTTGGAGGGTTTTGCCTTTATATTTTATTGTACGATGATGCTGTTAATGCTGACCATCTCTGGTAAGGCATGTTACATATATGTTGTGGTTACACAATAAAAGAACATAATGGAAAAAAAAATCCTACAGTGTATTAAGTACTGAATGATTGTTTAATTTTCCATTAAAATATGCAGTTGTGATGCGTTCATTTCTATGTCTGTACTATTTGAAAATTTGATAACTATTGTGTCAGTATTAGTGTCTTAGTTCAATGTGTCTCTGTGAAGTGGAATAGATAAAATACAAGAAACTGATTTGAAATAGCATATTAAATTATTAAAGAATAAACTGTAACTATAAGTCAGTATGATTGAGACTCTGCTATTTACAGTAATCATTTTAAAGTGAAATTGAAAAGCTGTAGCAGATCTGGGTAGTGTATATCTGTGTGAAAATTCTCCATTGAACCCTGCAAAGGGTTTGGGTTCACTGGGGAGAGAATGTCAGGTAATGACTGAAAATAGGTACAGTAGATCATGACAGAGACTGGAGCATTGGTAAGCTCCAGGGAAACATCAGTGTTGTGGTGACATTTTTTGATGGTCTAGCACTTCTTATAAAATTTTTCCTTTTTTTTCAGTATGTACTAGAGACTAATATAGATGATGTAGAAATTGTTTTTGTGGCGGTGAGAATCACATGGTAGAAAATGTGGAGGTGGTAGAGATCAGATAAGGAGAAGACGTAAATAAGTAGATTAAGTTGTAGCTTCATAGGAGAACAGGCTCTTTCCTATGACTGTTCACTTCATAGTCATTATAATTTTCAAGTTTGATGTTTGATTAGCATTTTATATGACTCTGTATCTGCAAAGAAGTTTGAAGAAAGTCAGTGGTATGGACTTTTGTTTGTTCTATCCACACGTGCATCTTCATGTGTAATTCATTTGCCATACATACCTTCTTAGCAATCACCAAAGAGATAGCTCTTCCCATTTGCTTATTCAAGTCACTCCCTGTTTGTCACTCTGGGCTCTTGCTTGCATCAAAACTGGCCTGCAGACATCAGGGCTCATTAAATTCCATTGCACCTTCCAGTCAAGGAGATAGAATTTAGTCTAAAATCTTCCAGATTTCCTGACCTAAGTTCTCAATTTATTGAGAATTATTTGGGATTCTAACATGGACTCTTCTTGAAGGGATGTGACAGATGAACAGTGCAGCCATATATGTTGTTGAAGTGTTGGTTTAGAAAGCCTAGAGGAGGTTTGATGCAAAGTAACCATTCTCTGGGGAAAAAAAGGAGGGAAGTGCACTATTCCCTGTCCCATCCAGTTAAGTCATGTCTCCCATTATCAAGGAAACAATTTCATATACTCAGTCCTTTGCATGTTCTCTGGAGAATATGAAGGCTCTTGAGCACAGGCTTAGTCTTGCTGGTGATGTGCTGAAGTGTGTTGGGACCCCTGAGAAGTTTAGTTACGATGCTGCTGCTGGGAGCTCTAGCATGAGGCCTCTATGTAAAGAGTTCCTGCTAAAGTTGGGAACATATCTGTCTCTGCTCTATGTCTAAACCTAAAGAAGCACTCAGCCCACAACGTATTTAGCTCATGAAATCAAGTTTTGAAGCCATGGAAAAATGTTCCCATTTCAAGCTGTATTTAAAAGAACGTCTACAGCCAACCTTAACAGATGGAGTGAATTCCAGACTCTCCTATTAATGATTTTTCTTCACCTAACAGCAGAATTCTGGTTTTGTGAGTCCTCTTTTCCTGTAAACTACCCTCTCGCTGAGGGGAACAGTTAGTTTTAGACACTAAGAAAGCTTTACAAATTAGTGATCAGATTGTAATAATACAGGAAATCTATTCCCACTGCTCCATTCCAATAGGATTAAGAAGAAATAGTTAAGTAATAGCATTTTACTGTGTTCTGGGTGAGGCAGACTTTGTATTGGAGTTGGCTGTAAGCACAGTTAGGTTCCTTTTTTCAGGAAAGGTTTACAACAAGGATTGCTTTCACAGCTTGTGTTGAGCAGTCTACATTTTATGGATATATTGATCTGTCACTTGAAGCTCAATTCATATTTACACAATACATAGCTAGATTAGTGGCACGATTTAATTTAAAAATTAAGTTACAATCCTTGTGCCAAGGAAAAAAGACTTGCTTACCAAACTCCTCAAAGCACAGAGGACAGTGGAGAAAAAGAACAAACATTGCTTGCAGTAACGTGGATGCTTCCCTTTCTGGAGCTGTATTCACAAGTTTGGGTTTGTTGAACATTCTAGAGTAACTGAAGCTGTGTGTATGCTACTAAGGGCTTTGCCTGCTGAATGTTTGGCACCAAAAGGGAAGGGATAGAAGGTGTGGAAACTACTCTGAAAAGCATTTCTGCTCAAAGGTTCTTTGGCTCCAGAGAACTGGCAAATAATTCCTTTCCTGTGTCCTTCTACTCTGTTTATCCCTGTAAACATCCTTCTGATTATGAATATGAAAAGCACCAGCTGAGCAAGATATTTTTGTCACCCTTACCAAACTTTTAGCATTGGCAGAAAACAAAAATGGAGACACAGTGTCAGTTAAAGGGCTAAGAGACAGAGACTGGGCTGTTCTCTTTTATGCCCAGTTTCCTGAGCAGCCAGCTCAGAGTACTTGCTGGGTTTCAGTTCACATCTCTAGCAAGGTCTTGGGGCAGTCTCTGTGCCGAGGCAGGGGTTGATCCTGATTAGGGTAGTTAGTAGGTGTCTTGTGTTTGGGTGGAAAAGGAATTCACTTGTGATTAGAACCCTCCTTAACTAGATTGCATAATGTCTTACTGATGAGCCAAGAATAATGTGCCCTGATGGGCATTGTGTTTGAGATGTGTGTCCTTTGCAAATTAGGCTGTAACTATGTATTTTTGGTATGTTTACAGGGGTGACCCTTCAATTGTGAAGCTGAATATTGCTATTACCACAGGCTACCTCATTTCTGGTAATTATGCAATATGTATAAAGCATGCATGACCTGTTTATGTATATTGAGTCACCATACCTATATGTTTATGCTGAGCCACTGTGGTGAAGATGTGGTACGTGTATACAATACAGTTTCTGCTGTGGCTTTTAAAATTGCTAATGGATTTGTGGGTTGTGGTGAAATCACAGGATCCTGCTAGCAGATGTGAAAGATGGAATATCTCCCCAAGAACTGAGGAAATACCACTGTGTGGCTTTGTGATGGTTCGATGTGCAACCTCCAGCTCAGTTTTGTCCTTTGGCCAGTTGAGAAGGTGTTAGAGCAGTGCCCTTCACTCTCTTCTTAGTGCCTACAGCTCGTATCTCTTCTAGAATGTGTTTCTTCCTGTGGCCTCAGAATGCCAGCAGAAGAATTTTAGTAACCTTCAATACAAGCTGAGGCAAATGGATCCTGCCTGCCCCTCTTTTAGTCTCCCTTTAAGCCAAAATTCAGTCATGTATAAAACATGGGAATTATTTATTTTGTATGTTACTTATTTCTAAATATGTATTATGTTGTATGGGGATAATACTGACTTATCAATCCAAAAACTTGTGACTTGGACTGTTTTCAGTGAAAACTTCTCATGTTAGGGTGAAGTCTCTGCTCAGAGACTGGGCCACAGACTTGGTTATCTCATACTGGATTTCTCAACCCAGTGGAAGTGATAATCTGGTGATCAGCATATTCAGTTAAACTGTGCATTATTTTAAGTGTCTGGGGTTTTTCATAGCTTCAGCTGCCATGTTTAAATTAATCAGTATCTATTTTTGAATAATTATACATTAAACTTTCATGATGAATTAATGAATGCCTTTGAACAGGCATCTCAACCTGACCACTCATTCTCTCTCACTTCCCTATATAGTTGATGTTTAATTATTAATAGGAAGTGAGCAGATATGTCAGATGATGTAGAGCCCTGCCTGAGGATAGCTAATATAAAAGAGATCAAGGCACACTCTGGACTTTAGAAAGGCACAGGGGTAAAGTCTTTGATTTGGAACCTTGGTCAATAATATTCCAGTCCAAAGTACTCATTTGCAGAAAGTAGGGACAGAAATTGCTTGTTCCACTACAGAGAACAAGATCTTCTGAATTCTCAGACCATCATGGGAAAAGAAAGATTTTTTTTTTTTTGGTTGGTTGGTTTATGTTAAAGCTTTCTTTTTAACACTAACTTGCTATGTCACTTTTGCAGTAATTAGAAAATCGGGATTTAATAATGCAAATATGCTTCTTATTCCAAATACCTCTTGCAAAATAGTTCTGGTAAATGGTCCCAAATTTACTAACATACTTTACTTTTTGATTCAGAGGTTCTCTGTAATAGATCCCTGCATTTGTTGCATGTATTTGTATGTTTGCTATGCCCCCTGCAGACCTGTCTTTTCTTAAATGTCATTTGTTCCAGATTTTCGGGGTCATAAATGTGAAGTCACTATGAGATACAGGATCCACCTTTTCCTTCCAAAATACTGTGGCTAAAATTATTGTATGTGTATTTCCATTGATGTGGAAAATAACCATTTATGGAAATCGTTGAGAGAATGCTGTTGCCTAATGCTTTGACTGAAGGGAAGCCTTTAGGATAAAGATGTTCTCTTCAGATATTATTTCAGAGGGTTTCTACTGCAGCCATATCTTGGTATATCTCTAAAACTTAGAGAAGCTATTCTGAGGTCAATGATTGTATAATAAGTAGTAGTTTATAGTTATTTCTGTTCTCTTGTAGATCTGTTGCTTATTATTTACTACTGGAAGGCAATTGGTGACAAATTTTTTGTAATACATCACTTGGCAGCTCTGTATGCTTACTATTTTGTACTGGTAAGTGCTGTATTTTCCTGTAACATAAGCAGATGAGATTAAAGAAACAGCTTTTATAGACCTCACTTGCTTAATGTTAAAAAAAATTCACTGGTTAATGAAAGGCATACTTATACTTTGAATCATTATTTTTAAATGTTTTTATCAGTTATTTATGGTAAATGCATGACTTCTCAATGTTACACTCCAACAAAAATGTTTAACTTTGTTGAACTTAAAACTTTTCTAAATTTTTGTTGTAAAGAGACTTTGACAGAAGGGCTTTTCATATGATTATGGAACAGGGTTTTAATTAAAACCACAAGCTTGAATATTTAGTTGGAAAGTTAGAAGGAAATAGTTTCAAGTGGTTATGTTCTACTTCTGTCTCCCAGGTAACAAGTGACAGGATGAGGGGAAATGGCCACAACTTGTGCCAGGGGAGGTTTATTTTGGATGGTAGGAAGAATTTCTGCACTGAAAGGGTGGTTAGGAAAGTGTTCAGGGAAGTGGTGGAATCCCCATCCCTGGAAGTTTGAAAGGCATGTGGATGTGGCACTTGGGGATATGGTTTAGTGGTGAGCACACAGAGCACAGTTAATGGTTGGACTTGATCTTAAAGGTCTTTTCCAACCTTAATGATGTTTTCCCTGCCTACTGTGCGAATCTCAGGCTTATAATACTAAAAGTGTCAAGATGCCAGATTACTGTCAGATATCCCATGTGGTGGTTTAAAGGAGCTGAAGTAAAGTGTCAAGTAAATACTCTTGTTTCTGGTTGAAGATAATTAAATATACTAATATTATCATGGATGAAAGTGAATTAGAGCTGAATATTAAATAAATGAAAATACTACTACCAAGGCTAATCCCCCATGCAGAAGATTCATTAGCTGTTTCTGGAGGAAACAGAAAGCATGATATTAGTGTGAGCTTCTTTAAAAGCATTTATTTCTATGTGGATGTAGCTCTGCCTGTGGATGCCAGTGTGTTGCTCTCAGTCTGTTGTCTTCTGAGAAAGTCACCCCTAAGTATGTTATTTCCAAATTGCCTTTTGGGGGTAGGAGAGAACTTGGTTAAACACACCGATTTTCTCTTTGGTGTAGTGCAAACTAACATGAAAAGTTTGAAGTAGTGGGTGTTGGCTGGCTTGATGGGGGAAAGAGGAATCATGACACCCACTCCAGAGGTTGTTCATGGAACCTAAGGAAATTAAAAACGCCCAATCTTTTTATCTCTACATCTGCAAACTGCTGCTTACCCAGCAATTGTGTAAGTGGGTGCTGTGTGTCACTGGAGGAAGGAGCTCAGCTGGAGGGGATGTGGTGGGGATGTGCCCCAAGGAGGAGCCGTGCCCGACCCAGGGGCACGGCAGGGACCTGGCAGCGCTGCTGGCAAGGGCCACCCCTGCCCTCTGCAGGAGGGAAGAAAGGGAAGGGCCTCCTGTGCCCTTCCAGCCTGGCAAACTAGAGCTGGGAATTCCTCTTCACTTTGGGAAAACATGCTCCTATAACGATGCAGGCAGATTTTTTCTTCAGCATAGTGTTTCTGTTTGGGCTTGTTTAAATGTCGAAAAATCAATAATGTTTATGATTCTTTCAGACAGTAATGCTATCATGGTAATTAGTTATCTATGACTGCTTGTGCAGGTCTTCTCTAGTTAGCCTTCATGGCCATTTAACTGTAGGTCTTATAAAGGTTTATTTGAAGTAAGAAGCTGCTGATTGGAGATGTCCTGAAGGACAATTGCAGCTTTTGTGAAAAAACGTGCTTTGAAAGTGCAAGAAAGGTGGCCACAGCTGGCAAATGCAGTTCGATTAAAGAAGTTGAGATGATGTATCATTCTGTGTGTACTTAAGACTCAAATGACAATTTCACATATACACATCTATTTTTGTATGTCTGTTTTGTTTTGCTAACCAGAGCAAAGGTCTGCTGGCTTATTTTGGAAACTTCCGTCTCCTTGCAGAGTTCTCCACTCCTTTTGTCAATCAGCGGTAAGTGGTTAGGGAGGTTTTCCGTAGTTCTTTAAAACTGAATCTGCATTACTATTTCTGTCACTTAGGAAGTCTTTTTATAGTTGTTGAATGTCTGCTGACAGGGAATTTATATATATTGAACTAAGGATTACTATATGAAAGTCTTTTTTGCTATGAAAATGTTTTGCTGCTGTAGCCAACAGTATAACTAATGTATTCATCTCCGAGTTCCTTTCTAGATTAGACCAGGCTTTGTATGAAATGCCATCTTTTTATGAAAAGACAGAAATTTCACAAATAAAATATTCTTTATTAACTTTTGTATATTCATTTATTTTTTATAATAAAGCCATCTTCAATATAGATATTTTTTTCTTTGTATCATGGACAAGGAAAAGAAGCAAGATAATATTGTCATCAGAATCCTAGAATGGAATTGCATTGCCCTGTATACTTTGAAGTTTATTTTCCAATTTTCCACACATGTAGATCAATATTCATATATGCATATGAATATCTAGAATAATATAAATGTATATTCTTTATTTTCCTTCAAAAATAGTTCTGCAAGTTGTTTTGAGCACTTAACTATATATCTGAAATGGTTAATCTTCACACCTGTGATTAGAGAAGAAAGGGGCTGAAGCTTCTCCTGCAGAGCTCAGAGCCTGCCCTGGCTGCTGGTTCAAGTGTTTTTCCCTGATGTGCTGCTGTATCAGAAAAGGAGGCTGATTATGCCACATACTGCAGCAAGGGAAAGCTGTCACTGGAGTTTCATGGTGGCCTCATCCCTTACTCTGCAGCCTTCAGGCCAGAGCTGGGGGTAAGATTTGGCCCAGAAAGGCTTCACCTCAGGTGAGGGGCTTTGGTACAGAGCAGGGCTGCAGTCTTCTCTTTTTGCAAGGTAGGATGAGGACTTTCAGTGAATCAGATGCCTTTTTCTTAACCATGCTTTTTGGGGTGTATTTCTGCTTTACTGCTTCTACACGTGTGGCATCTGTTTGCTTTTCCAGATGTCTGGTAGAGAAAGGATAAAGCAAATAGAAACTGTATTCCTCCTGCACACAGGCTATTGTGCATTACTGCATTGTGACTGTAATCTCTGAAGTGTTTTATGACACTGTAGCATTCCTCAGAGCTCTTACAAATAAAGAAGATGGTGCTGTGGTCCCTTTTGGACATCAGTTTGGTACACTCGAATTGACAGGAGGACAGGGTGGGATAATGGAGCTCTCCAGAGGCTGCTCTCCTCTGCCCCAGCGCAGTTGAGTGGGAGATATCAGTCTGTTGTAGCCTGTGCTCTGTGTGCACAGGGAAACTAAAAGCTAAATAAACACTTCTTCAAACTTAATGAAGAAAAAAGGGTTTATATTGATATTCATGTCCTGGTGAATGGCTGTTGTCCCAGCTTCTGTCAAGACAGGATGTCATCCTGGGTTCATGTGGGCTCCTACACTGATGCTTACCTTTCAGACTGTGACGTTGGAAAGAACTGTGGTACATCTGGCTATTAAAAGTAATTTATGCTATACTTTTTAAATGCCCATGGTGAGATTATGGGTCTTTGAATACTGACATTTAGCATTCTCTCAGAAAAGCAGAAATTGCTGCAGGAGATAATAAAGTCCCTTGCACTAAGAGATGTCATCTCATTAGTGCATGATTTTTTTCCATTAAATTTGAAGTGAATCAGACCCTTAAGAGAGTACGTAGTGGATAATGATAACGACTTACATTATTTTTCTTGTTTGCATTCTTAGTGTACCAAAAGAACTCTTATTAAAATATAAAAAGATATTCTAATCTTAGAACTGTCTGTGTATTTCCTGTCTGTGTTGTTAGGGAACTCTAATTGGAGGTTGTCTCCATGCCAAGCATTTAGATCTTTTAATGTTAGTATCAGCATTTATGTAATTAATTCTGAACTGTGGTGGGTAAAATTGTAATGGTAACTGTTATTTACAGACTTTTTTTTTTTAAATTTGCTGGGAAAGTGAAGTTGCAAACAGATGCCAATTACCTATACTGGCATGTTGCAGTATGCTTGAAAACCGTTTTTTTACATTAATTTTTGATTCTGCATTGTGTATATCATTGAAAGTAAAAGCTTTGATTTTAATCTGACCTAATATGTCAGGTCTTTCTCTTCATGTCGGTGTTTCTATGGTGAGGCATCTTGCTTCCGGGCTGGACTGCCACCTCGTGTGCCTGGATTTTAATTGTCCTAGTTGCATGCTTAATGAATTTCTAGAATATTTCTGTTAGAGCTGGATGTCTGTAAAATCTTTTTAGTGTATTTATAATTACCTAGGTTGTAATCTGTAGGTAATTAAATTAAAAATTGTTTTTAAACCAGGTTTAGAACAGTTTTGTTAAATCATTTTAGCCTTGTATCTTATTGGAGGAAAACTGATTATTTCATTCTCTTCCCCATCCCCCAGTATGAATACAGTGATTCAAGTTATTTTGCTGTGGTGTTGCCTGCCATTGCTGCACAAATTTTACTTGTTCATTCTGGTTTAAGTGTGAATGACAAAGGATTAAAGATGTTTGTTGTTCCTTTTTCAGCCCTCAGATTCTGTGTGCTAGGCAATACATAAGTTATGCCTGTCTGCTATATCTAGGAAGAAATATGCAAGAATTCTTTTTTAAAGACCATTTATGACCCAGCAGTAGATGGAGAGACAGTTTTTAGATTTATCTTTTTTCATTGGGTGATGTTCCAAGTTGTGATGTGATCAAGAGTTCACGATGTCTGGTTCTGAAAATGTTCTGGTTTTGGGCTGAACAGAAGCAGTCAGAAAATCCCAATTACAAGAAATTAGAGCTCTCTCTAGATTACCAAATCCAAATGAAATTTTAGAGTTGCTTTCAGTAAGACAAAGAATTTTAGCTGCTGTTGGTATAAACTATAACAGCAAGTAATAAATATGTCTCTGTGATTTTCAAATATAGTTTTATTATTGGATATTGCACAATAGTCACTGTAATGTGTGTGGGTTGTCAACTGGTTCACAATTCATAGCAGGATTTTCTATGTGTTATTCTGCAATATACTGGATCTCATACACTGCTTAAGTGGTGGGAAAAAAGTGCAGCCAAGCAGAAGGATTTGTAACTAAGCCAAGACAATGTGCAATACTTCAGAAATTTTAAAGGTAGAAGCAATTAATACATGATGATTTAAACATGAAGTAAAATAGTTTTTAATGAGATGGCTTCAAGTCTGCCTGGTATTTGTGAACACTTCTTTTGCAGGTGGTTTTTTGAAGTACTGGGATATCCCAAATCTTCAAAGGCCAACATCATCAATGGTGTGCTGATGACAGTTGTGTTCTTCGTGGTGAGGATTGCCGTCATGCCTGTCTATTACAGCCACGTAATTTCTTCATTTGGAACAGAAGGTTTCCAGAGATTAGGATTTGCAGCCCAGAGCGCCTGGATGATCTCAAGTGTTGTCTTGGATATTATGAATGTGATGTGGATGGTCAAAATTGCAAAAGGATGCTACAAGGTCATTTGTCTTATTGGACAGGAGGAAGCAAAAACTCATAGAAATGGAAAATCTGCCTAGAAATCATACATAAATGAAATTTCTGCTACGAAAATAATTTGGGTTCACTGAAACAGTGCACATTTCTGCCATGGAATGCTCCTATTATGGAAACAAGGTATTACCTCTGTACTGACCTTACTCTTTCCCTAGCCACACTGCCTGCACGCCCAGGGCCACGCTTTGCGGATCCTGTCCTGTGAGGAATAAAAGCAAAGGCTCACACAGATGAGTTCCACATGCCTGTTGTAAGCAGTTGCAAGCATCAGAAATTAGAAAGGAGCAGACTGGTTACTGCTTATTGTCCACCAGTGTGTTCAAAGTGTTTCTCTCAGGTTTCTCTGATTAAAATGTTTTATAAATCCAGTGAATACTGACATATCTGTTTTTTTAGAAAATGAAAAATTCCCCAAACTCCTGATATGGTGCAATTTTCCAGGCACGTTTCTATGTTTTCTTCTAGGAATAACAATCAAGATTTCATTCTTGACAACTTTTTAATTTTTGCAAGAAAAGCTAAAAATTTGGCTTTGATTCTATGAAGTCTTTTACTGCTTTTTGTTCTGCCTTATATGAATGCAAACTCTTTGGGAAATTTTGAAGTAATTTTATCTAAAATGCTGTATTATAAGACAACATCATATCTTAAGAGCTGTTAAAATTCTCACATTGATGGGAAGGATTCCCATGTGCTGTCCTAGGTTACATGCAATAGTACATCTTCTAAATTCCCCATGGGCCTTTTTTGTAAGTTAATACGGTAGATGATGTGTGGAAATGGCGTAGTTCTTGCTGAAGTGCTCTTTCCTGTGCTGCTCCTACCTCTGAGAAGTGCTGCAATTCTTCTCAGAGTATTTTTAACCATTGGCTATTTGGATTCAAAGTTTAATTGCAAAGATATAAAAAATCATCTGTATATGTGATGTGTAACTTTAAGTAATGCTGTTTTCTTTTATCACAGAAATGACCTGTTTGATATCAATCGTTGAGGGTTTTTGTCACATTTTCCGTGTTAATCAAGTCAGAAATCCGAGGTGTGACTAAGAATATTCTTGAATTAACTGTGCCAAACTCCTCTGAAACTGTATGGTAATTCTGTAGAAGGAACACTTGACCTATGTAGACACTTTTTTTTGTTTGTTTAAACCACACATTTGTCAAGAGATACTCAGTTACTCTGTTTGAAATTGAAGGCTTGGAGGTCATCAGAGAGGAATCTCACCACCTAGAAATAGTCCTAAACTCATTTGTAATACAATTTGAGGAAATTCTGAGTTATGTATTATTTAAAATTATTTTCAGAGCTATATTTATGCTAAACTCATTTATAATACAATTTGAGGAAATTCTGAGTTATGTCTTATTTAAAATTATTTTGAGAGCTCTATTTATGTAAATTTGTTTTGGTTTACTTCTTTTATCCAGAATTGTGACTGATTAACTTCTGGTTTTTTTCCTTGGTCTAGGTGTGGTAAAAGTGTCTATTTTCAGTGTGACTTCAGTGCACATCCTGATTATTGTAGCAATCTGTTAAAGCAATTACTTTTTAAACAGAAAGGTAGCATATTTACCCCGTGTTGGGTGGTTAGTCCTGTCCCTCTGACAGAGCTGGGTGACATGAGCTCTCCCCTCCACAGTCAGAGGTGTGAGTGCCCCGTGCTCTCCTCCCTGGTGAGGATCTAGGCACTCCCCTCACCCAGAAATTGCATATAAGACCCAGGAGAACTGCATAGGCTGAAATGCCTCCCAGCCAAGGCAGCTGCAGTGAGTTCAGTTCCCCAGTGGAAATACTGTCAGGGAGTATTGTTTGGACTTGTGTAAAATGCACTTTTGAAAGCCTAGTTCCATTGCTCAGCTCGGCAGGCTTTTTTCTGAAAGTTTCCCAATCCTGCCTTGTTGAGGGAGATAGCAAGGATTGGCAGCACTTGTGGTTTTGGATCCCATGGTTATTAACACTTCACAGCCTACAGGCAAAAGATCTGTTTATGCCTTGGGAGAGTTAATTCATCTGCTGAGCTGTATGATCTGAGTGAGTGCAGTGCCTCCTTTGGGTACCAGTAAATCCAGAGTCTTTGAGAGTCCATCTGTGACTTGCTTTGCTCAAAGCAACAGACTCTCTTTTATGCTCATTTGCAGAACCTGGAATCTTTTAAAGTGTGATTTCAGTGTACCTGCTGCAAAATTGTAAAAAGGCTGTGTTTCTATCACCTTTGTGATTTAAAGGTGTATATTAAATACTCTTTTATTTTCTTTTTACACCACTACATCCCTGTGATTAATAGTTTTGTAAAACTTATTCCTTTCTAAAATTGAGTAAATTCAAACATTTTGGAGAAGTATGCTTGAAAATTGAAGTCTGCTTTTCTTATTAGGGAAGTAGGATGAAAAAATTGAGAGGATGATCTGGAGAAACTCTTAGGATGATAATTCATGAAAAGTTTCTGAAATTTTTAATTTCTTACATTGATTTTAATACTTCAGTATTTTAAATATTTTATTGTCGGGGGAGGCCATTTATTAAATTGGCCTACTTCTTCCACTTCTAGATAGACTTGTGTTTGATAGGGGAAAGAAAAAGTAAGTCAAGCTGTAATAAAGTTGATGTTAAACCTAGATTTGGAAGCAAAAAACAATCCAAAACTCTGCATACTACACTTTGGCCAACAATCTAGGATTGAAGGGCAGTGACATAATTCTTTAGAACAGCTAGTAGTTTGGATTGCTGCACAAAATTAGTGTAATTGAAAATCTATTTTGCAATGCATTAGCTCTAAATTTTATGATTTTTTTAAAAAAAGTTATTACAGTTATGTCCTGATGCATCAGAAGAGAATTTTTTTATTAAAAAAACCTACTAACAGCTGTGGTTTCAGCAAAGACTTCAGTAAACAGGCAGCAAAGTTGTGATGTACTAAATACAGTAGTATATAGGGCACTTTTTGCCTGCCATTAAAAGCTTATAATACAGCAAATTAGATAGCTGTGGCACCCATTTTTTCATTGCACTTTATTAATTTTAAAAATGTGGTGAAATATTGATAAAATTTAATGTTGTAAGCTTATGTCTTTGCTTTTTTATGCAAAAACGTGAATGCATGGTAATTAGCAACTTAACAAATGCTTTTGAATGTAGTATCTTATTAGTGGCTTAAAACTTCTATTTTTAACAGATGCATTGTAAAAGTAGACTCTTGGCCTGTCACCAGGTGTCTTTTCTGTGGGCATATCAGATGGAAGGAGAGACTCCTGTTAAAAATAGCTTGGTTTTCTTTTCTTTTCCATTCTTCAATACCAGGTGATGTTAACTTGCTGATCATGGGGCACACTGTTGGTACCGGTTAGGCTGTATGTAGAAGTGCAAGTTCCCCTTTTTTATGGCTTTAATTTTTCATCACAAGATGAGTAAATACCACTTTGAGGACTCTACAGGAGAATGGTAGGTTAGGTGTTCTGTACAGATTTGTGGAATCAGTACTTGCAGAGAGGGAGTGTACTTCAAATACTCATTTTCTCAGAGTGTTTCAGTGGATTTCAGTGGAGTCTCACACAACAGGGATGCTGTATTGATTATCTGTGTGAATTCTTCAGTGGTAAGAATTACATCTCTGAAGCCTACTCTACCTCTATAAATACATGCTATCTTGAGTGAGCTCCATAATTTAACAACTTAATTGCTTCAAACATATAATCCATTGAATAATGAAATATATACACAGGAAAATGAGGGGAGCTGGCTTCATATATAAATTCTTAACAATTTCAAATTATGTACTAAAGTTTATTAAAAGTTAAATCAGTTACAGTGTTTGGAAGAGAATTACTTCCATCTTCAAATATTGTGGGAGAAGATTACTCATATTGCAGAACTAACAAGCTAAGGGTAAAAGCTACACAAGTGAGCAAATGGATTCAGGCAGCTTTAAAGAGGAGAGGAGGAGGAGACTGAGTACACCCCTAGAGATCCAGATGTCTTCCTACTGCTGTGCTTGGGACAACAGCAGACAGATACACAGCAGAAAGGTTTAGGTGTTTGTGTCTCTGTTCGTGATGGAAATTGAAATTTTATTCTTTAGGATTTTCAGGCTGTATAAAATGGAATACCAGTTGTTGATTATTGTATGATGAGGACTTTTTTTCATGGCCTTGTGTATGTTTAAGCATATGTATGTACAAGCTTTATGTGAAAAACCATTTAATAGAGAAGTCTGGAAAATCGTTTTGTGATGCTTCTGCTGAGCCACTCAGAAGAAAATCAAGGGCTGCTTGACAATTGCTCCAGCTTAGGGTCTGGTGTGCTCTTGGCTGCTGCTGAAACCATCAATAAAGCAAATAGAAAGGGACTAGAATTTTCAGATGAAAAAGTGCAAGTGTAGAAGAGTTTGAAACTATTGCAAGCCCCTTTCATATTTTAATACCCTACTGTACAACAGTGTTATCTGGCTACAAGGAACTCCACGAGGGAAAGTTTGTTCCTGTCAGATTTCTCTGTCTATGGAATACAGGCAGAAAAAGAACACTACTTCATTGCTGATACCTGATTGATGGCAGTCAGATGGAAATAGTGATATTTGTGAACTTTTAACCTTCATCCAAACCTGGATAAAATCTGTGTTAGGTGAAGTTCTTGGGATTTTATGAAAGCAACTTGAAAGTTGTTTTTATGGCAGAGAAGATGAAATATGTGCTGCCTGGGTTGTTTAGAGATCTGGGATAAAGCATCAAGTCATACTTTTAGATGGTAACACTTAATAAGGTTTCTTATCCATTAAAAATTCCTACTAGCTACCTCCTTTCAAAGTCTTGTTCTATTTATAATAATCAAGCACTTTATAGCTCAGTAAAGAATGGAAGGTAGCTATGAAGAATAAATAATATTGTTTGGTATGAGAAATATTTTGGCAAAATTTCTTCTGAGAGCAGTTTCATTGTGTGATGTCCTGCACTGAGAGGGCATCTGTTTAATACGAAGTATATACATTTTTAACCTAGTTTTAGGTAAGGGAAGTGTCTGTAAGAGAGTGAAGTACGAAGAGATCAGCATGGCTTGGTATCAACCACGTAATGATTCAGTGTGCTATTTATAACTTCTTACTTACTGAAATTGAAAATATAAAAGCAAATAAAATATTCTGTATTGTATCTTTATTTTTCATCTATGTGTGGGATGTCAAACATTGTACTTGTTTTGTGGACAGGACATGCTTTTATGAGCCTATAAATATTTAAGTATATGAGAATCTGCACCCAAATGGAACATGTTGCATGTAAATTGTCTTCTAAGTTTTTAAATTTTGGTATTTTTAAAAATTTGCTAGGTTTGAAAGCAACATTTAAATATGAACACTAAGCTGTAATACAGAATACAAAATTTTGAATGAAATGTGGTTTTGTTTATAGTAATCCTATTCCAGTTTCACAAGAACCATCAAATCACAGGGGGAAGGGAGGAAAAGGGCTAACCATGAGCTCAGCTATATAATTTGCACACTTAATATGCACACATCCAAATATCCTGGATTTGTTTCTAGCATGCATTTACCAAACAGTGTTTTCTTCAATATTGAAAGATACTTATGTATGTAGAATAAGCACAGCTAACCTGTTATAAAATTAGATTAGAAAACCTGTTTGGAACAAATGAGTTACAAGTTAGGCATAAGTAATGGAGCCTGTAATTCAAAAATATTTATATCATCTATCTAAGAAGAAACTTGATGGGTTTATCTAACTTACGTGCAGAGCAAGGATGAAAACTGTAGATTCTGCTAGACTGATTTCTGGTAAATCTTGACAATCTGGTTTGCAGTAAATTCTAATACTGTCACAAAATGTTAGGATCACATTATTAAATTCAGCTAGTAATGTGACCTGATTGGAATAGCAATCCTTATCATGGCACAAGAACTTAAACATGCAATATAACAATTCTGAAGATTGGTGATAAAAGTAATCCTTCATAGCAAAGTGAATTATTAAGCGTTATGGGTTTAAATTTACTTTCTATTGCAAGAAAGAATCTAAATTATTTGTTAGCATTTCAGTGATATTGTAAAGCATTTCTGTATTTTGTTTTGAACAGTTTAGGAGCTTGCATAAAATTATATTGGCTGATTTTTTTCCCCTTTGATATATGCAATAATGTCAATAAGCAATAAATTGCATGTTGTATGCAAGGTATTGGTACATCATAATAAAGGAAAGGAACACAGATTCTTATTTTGTGAATTTTTCTTTCTTAATATGGTAAGACCTTGTGTACCTATAATGAGTACATAATGAAAGAACAGTTTTGGGGGGGTTACATTCTGAAACAACTGGCTTTTATGGTATCTTGAGATTTCATGCTGTATCTTATTTATTTTAAAAAGGTGAAGATGGGTGTATGGGGTCTAAGCCCCACTGTTACTCAGGTGGCTGGATTTTTGAATGCTTTTTTTTAATTTTGAAATTCTATGTAGGACATCACTGGGGCCAGGAATGTAACTTAAACTATAAATTTGTATATTGGGGAATTGTATATTACGTAAATTTGTGTATTGGGGAAGAAGGTTTGGATTGGATAGTATAATTCAATTGCATTGTCTTGCAATACCGTTTGTGTCAGGGCATAGACTGGACAGTTTTCTGAAGGCTCTGGGGATAAAGAGCTGCTGTTGTCAGCATATTATAAATATTATGCACTACACAGTCCCTTACTGAATACTAAGATGGGCAATTAAGTTCCTCAGTGTGGCAGTTCCTAGGTTCTGTATGTGCATGGAAGCATGGATTGTGTGGTAAAGCCCACAGGTTTGTTTGAGCATCCCTAGAGATTGCTGCTGTTTTATGTCTTAACCACTGGCTTCCAAGCACAAGTTTCTTTGGGTTTTCTTGTGTGATGCAGTGGTTAAATTGCTAGAAGAAAACACAAAGCAGTCAGTGTCTTTACTTTTTTTTCCTTTCATTTGTTTTTCCAGGGTATTTGGTTGCATTTGTAAATTATATACTTAAGGTACTAATTTTACACTGCTAGTGTAGTAAACTACTCATTAACTAATGGGTCTGTTAGAAAGTGAGTGGGAGTTTCTGGGAACAGATGTTCTTTGGGGTCAGATACTATATAGGTCAGATTTCCAACTGCTTGAGGAAGGAAAATGGGGCTTGGTAGGAGGCTTTTGTATTGGCACTAGGCAGCTTTTAACACTGAATAGTGGGAAGGAAGGACTGAGCATGGCTGGGAACAAGGGATGCCTTTCAGTGAGCCATTCTTAAACTCATGCATTCAACAAATCCTGCTTAATGTGTGAGAAGCATTATCTCTCCCTAAGATGTAGGATATAGGAAATATTTTTATGTCCACTTCTTTGTCATATTTGAATGCACTGGTGCTTTTCATTTTCTCCCCAGACTTTTTATTTACTCTTTGTATTCTTGCTGAAAACTTTGGTTTCTCTCCTCATATTGGTGTGATAATTTTGCACTAAGATTAAAAAAATAAATTCAATCTTTGCAGTGGTTATCTGTCATATTTTAGAAGGTGGGGTACTGTGGTGTCTTCTTTTGCTCTGCTTTTCTGGAGTTCACAGTGCAATATACCTACAGGTAGACTCTGCTTCATTGAGATCAGGACCTTGGTGTTCTATGTAAAGAAACCTTTACATTGAGTAAAAAAATGTTTGCTACTTGGCTCATCTTACAGCGGGTGAAAACTATTACCTATACAATGACTAATAGTGCAGTTGTTGCTTCTGGTGGAGAGTGATGGTGGAAGCAGGGAGATGGCACACAGACATCTACAGCATTATCTACTCGGAGAGGAAGGAGTAGAAGCAATTTTCCATTTGAGAACATCAGAGAGAGAAAATCTGTTTTACCATAGAGTCCTTCTGCCACTGACTTGAAATATTTGGAAGCAGAGATTTCAGTTGCTCTGTGGGAGGATATTATTAAACAGTGTCATTAAGTGAAGACAGGATGGGTGACTTGTGGCTCTTCAGCCTGGAGAAGAGAAGGCTCTGTGGACACTCCAGAGCCCCTTCCAGTGGGTAAAGGGGCTCCAGGAGAGCTGGAGAGGGACCTTTTACAGAGTGATAGGACATGGGGGAATGGATTTAAACTGAAAGAGAGCAGGTTTAGATTGGATGTTAGGAAGAAATTCTTCCCTGTGAGAGTGGTGAGACACTGGAACAGGTTGCCCAGTGAAGCTGTGGATGCCCCTGTTCAAGGCCAGGGTGGATGAGGCTTTGAGCCACCTGGTGTAGGTGTCAGGAAAATTAATCCACAAACACCAGAGGTTTATGTCCAAAAAGGAGACAGAGGAGTTCTGTAACTTTACTCAAATAAAAGGAGAGGTCATGGGGAACTCCCATGGCATCTCAGAATTTTTAGAGGATGCAGCTTCCTAATTTTTATGCTAATTTTCTGGCTGCATTTTTCCTCTCTCTTTCCCCATTGGCTGAGGTACTTCAGAGGTACAGACTCCCTGAAACACCTAATACCCCGTACCCCGTTTTTCTTTTTCCTTGTGTCTCCCTTCTTTTTCTCTAAATCCAGAGATTTAGCACAGTCTTGAGTGAATAGCAGACTGTGTCAATTAGTGGAATTCCTGTGGAATTTATGGTTCCCCCCATTGCTTTTTTCACCTCGCTATCTGGCCATATTTGCCATCAGGCCCACAGTTTGTTTGTAAAGACCCCTCCTTCTCATTCCTTTCATGGGAAAGATGTCCCTGCCTATGGCTGGAATGAGAGGATCTTTAAAGCCCCTTCTAACTCAAACTGTTCTGTGGGTCTGTACGTGTAGCAAGTGAAGACTTAAAATGATTGTTTTAACATGCTTACACAGCTGTTACTGTGAGTGTAGTCTTGGATACTGCAGTAAAGCCAAATATGCCTAAACTGGGAAATAATGGAGGCAATCAGAATGTTTTCCAGGGCATATAGTAGAGATTTAGTTACTGACATAATGCTAAATTTCTATCTCAATATGCTGTGCTAATAATTCCGGCATGCAGAAGGGGTAGAAAATAATTTCCTCTTAAGTAATCAAGACTATAAAAAGGCAAAAAATATTGAAAGGATGAATATTTCATATTGCTTTATACTTGTATTTTTCATGTTCACACTGAATGGCAATGTCCTTGTTAGTGACAAAGATCCTACTTTCAAAGATGGCATGTAAAAGTTAGCTTAAAAACACTCTTGAGAGGAATATATAAAAGCTTTTTAAATTCAGGTAGTTACATATTTTGAAATACTGCTGCTTAGAACTCTTTCAGTGTGGTTTAGAATTTGTCTTCTTTGAAAGAAATGGGAGAGAATCACTCATTTCTGTATGCACGCACACCCTTCTTCCACATAAGAATTTGGACTTTCTTCATCCTAAGCTACTGTAATAACTATGTCACTTGAAGATTAAATTCCTTTCTCCTTTAGTTCTATTTTTAATTGTTACAATGAAATAGAATATTTGGGGAAAAAAACCAAAAAACCCAAAACTATGGTTATTTTTAAAATCAGTTCTACTTGTTATACATTTATAATGAATGTTTCTTGGCTCCCCACTTGCTTTTTGCACTTGACAGCCTATTTAGAGTCCATGTGGTGGGATGAACATTGAAAAAGGCCTGTGGGGTTTGTGCATACTGTTACAGCAGTTGTTGGTTAAAAGGGGATGCGATGAAGGTAGAATTGATGACAGTGAGCTCCATCTTCTGTGTGTTATGCACGGTACTTCACACATACAGGTAAAATGCATCTTCTGGTTTGGAAATAAGGCAGTATTCTTAGCAAATATTAAAAGAGCTGTGATACTCTTCTTGGCTAGTTGTTGTTTAAAAATAATCTTAAATAACTTTGCTATCTCCGCAAGTTTAGTACTAAAGAGGATACACCGTTACGGTCTGGGAGCGTGCTGCTAGTACGTGGTGGGCTCCTTCTATACACCAGCAGTGATTTGCGGTTCCAAGGGCTAATGCTGTCACGAACAAGCCCACGGCACGGGGTACGAGCACTGGTGGCTCTCGCTGCCCGGGGCTGGGCGGGGACCGGGGCCGGGCGGGGGCCGGGCCGGGCCGCTCCGGCGGGAGCCGCTGTCCTTCACGGGCACCGTGGGGAGCGCCAGGGCAGCCCTGCTAGGGGCTTGGGTTTTTGCTTGGGCTGGAAGCTTGTTACTTAAATCGATTTTTCGGTTAATTTTTTAATTCGTGGTGCACCACTGCACCTGCACTTGGCGTTCACCTTGTAGTTTTATGTTACGAATGTTTGCTGTCTTTTTCTTTAGAAATTTGATCTTAAAAGGCCCGTTGTGCAGAGGCCATGGGCTTGTCCGCATCCTCCCCCGCTGCCACAGAGCAGTCACCAAATGCATCCAGGCAGTACCAGACGGCGTCTCCACCTTCAGAATGCCCCATGCATCAAGAAAAAATGAGCGGTAATCATTCTTCAAACCTAAATAAGCTAAACTCTACGTGGAAACAAGACTGAAAAATCTTGGGAGGTGGGGAGGGAGAAATTCTTCAAATAGACTTGAGGTTTTTGCGAAAACCATTCTCAAGTAAATTTTCCTTAGGAGGAGTCACTTGTTCACCAGAACACTGTGCCAGGTGCTTTTTTTGTAGACAGGAGGTACTTGCTGTAGAACCGGTGGGTCACTTCCAGTTGTCCCGTTTCCCAGGGGCCCTACAAATCTCTTCCGTAGTGTGGTACAGAGGGTTAGGGAGCCCTACAGAGATGGTGACGGGTTGTCACTACAAACCATGTGTCCAGAAAAGGGCCGCAGAAGGGTGGAATGAGATGAATGCCTGGAGAAGGACATCAGCTCTTTTGTTGCCTCAGTCAATGCACTGGGTCAGCTTCCCTGAGGAAGACTGAAGTACAAACAGTTCAGTATTGGAACCAGGATGGGGGGTGGGAAATGAGCATTCAGAGACTACACAGGAAACTCAGATCTTGTCATGATTTTGGGTCCTGAAATGCAGGAAAGAGAGCAGTCAAAACTGTTGAAAAGCTCTGAAGAAATAGTGAAATACCCATTTGCATTTACATGAGCCTTCAATTAACTTTTCCATTTTATGTATTAGAGTTTTCATCTTGTAGCAAAATGTGTACTACTGTTGTGTTTAAGGTTGTCCAATGCACATGAAGACTGCTGATCACAGAACTGAGAACACAGATGACGTTCCTGCACATCAGGAAAGAGCTTATGAGTTTGTAGCATGTCCTGTGAAATCTGGTGCAGCTCAAATGAAAGATGACATAGATCCCAGCAATATGGTAACTTTTGCTTACTTCACATGTTTTCTTTAGTCTTCTTTCTTCTGAAGTATTATACCCAAAAATGTAAATAGTGTTACTATGTAAGCTGGAAACTTTGGGAAATAACATTATTTGTTTTATTTTTAAGACTGCTTTTTCTCTTTTTTGTGCAATTTTTTATTTAAAAACAAGTCACGTCTTATTTAACACTGTATTAAAATTTACATCTCTGGTGGTTTTCCTGTTTTTAAATATATTTTGCTCTCTACTTACTAGTTACATAAATGTTTTTTATGATACATTGTTGGATTTTTAGTTTCTGTGTAATAGCAGTGTGGTTGAGTTTTGATTTGGATCTCCAAGATTTCCACTGGTTTACAAAAAAGCATTGCTCTTTTGAAAATGGAAGTTTAGGCAGAAAGCTTTCTGTAGTCTCCTGATGACAAACTTGTGCAAAGAGTTCCGCTGCAAAAAAAAGATAATTTTGGTGGAATTAAGTAAAGGCTGAACTTCTTGATCTTTACAGGAGTTGACTAATTGTGCTTTGATTTTTCTCAAACACTGTAACTTACCAAAATAGAGTACTAGTTTGTTGTTGGTTCTCCTTGTTCTGTAGATGCCTCCTCCCAATCAGCAGCCATCTCCAGGTCAGCCATTTCCATTGTCAACTGTTAGAGAAGAATCTTCCATTCCTAGAGCACATTCTGACAAGAAATGGGTCTATCCTTCAGAGCAGATGTTCTGGAATGCTATGCTAAGAAAAGGGTAAATACACTGTGAATTACAGATATGTCTGTGAGCCTGGAATTCATGAACTAATAGCATCAGTTATTGGTTTTTTTGGGGTTTTTTTGTGAGTTTGTTGATTTTAACCAGTAAAGTAGCTCTTTAAAAAAAGTCCTATTATTATAAACATCTTTAAAGGGTGAATTGGTCTCAAAGGCCATGTGTATTCTAGTGATCAGGAGGATGGTGAAAAATGTCGAGCAACTACTACTGGCTTAGAAGATTTTCTTAGAAGTCCATGCACAGGTGTAGACAAAGTTTGCATGATTGCAGTCATGCCAACTGCATGATTGCCAGTTGGTTTCATGCTAATGCTGTAAAATGACAGTAGAAGTTCTATGTGAGAACATCAAACTTTGCAGAATTGCTAAAACTAGGGAAATTTGCAAGTAGATATTTTTGGTATTTACAAAAATTTAGCATATGCAAGAGTAAAAATCTTCCTGTGATGATGTTTCCTTGTTCTCTAACAGGTGAACTTCACAGGTAGTTTACTTTTGGAGCAATAGTAATTCTTTTTTCTACGTGTCAGTATGGTTCATAACACAATATGACATAAGCAGCCTGTATGGAACATACAAGTTTGGCTCCTGTAAACACTGAAATGTGTTAATGCTATGCCAGTTGAAAAGGAAGCACACATGCAGTCAAAATGCAGTGTCAAGAGAGATGGAAAGTATTTCTAAGTGTTTGCAAAATGTATTGAATACAGGAGTACTGTGCATTAGAAATGCAAATGGGATTTTTCCTAAGCATTTTTTATGAATACTGTGGATGTGGTGATGTTTGCACACTCTGATAACTTTCTGATCCAGTTAAGCTGTTAATTTGGCTATGTAGAATTTGTGAATCTCTGTGATGATACATTGGATAACCACACTTCTGCACAGAAAATGAAGTGGTTCTCAAGATGCTTAAGCAGATGAGCCAGAAGTTTGCATGCTTGTCTTGTGTCTTGCATACAACCTTAAATCTTGATTCAAAGGTTGATCAGATAGATCTGGGAAGGTGGAGTAGTTATGCTGTAATGTTTATAAACTGTTCTCAAGTTCTTATTTTTTAGGTGGAGGTGGAAAGATGATGACATAACAAGTGAAGACATGACCAACATTATTAAGATTCATAATCAAAATAATGAGCAAGCTTGGAAGGAGATTTTGAAGTGGGAAGCTCTACATGCTATGTATGTACCTGTGAAATGTTGCATATGGAATATTTGTTATGACAAAGATATGAGTTGTAAAGATTAGCATGACTGGTGTAAAGCAGACTGTCTCTTTTTAGATCAGCATAGTCCCTGTTCCTACAAGACACAGGCTAGTTAAGCATTTGATATTATACATTTTTCTCTGAAATTCCATTATCATTTTTACACAGTAGTTTGGATTATGGTTTTCTATTATTTAATCTATTAAATCTGTGGGTTAGGTTTGCAGAGAACTGCTTTGTTGACAAATTAGAGTAATGGTGTGGAGCATATCAGAGATATGCTTTATCATACCAGCAGTAAGTGCGGACAGAAACTGGATGACTTTTCAGAGCTTTAAAAAAAGGAAAAAAAGTTGGGTTATATCACTTGTAATTAATTTTTTACTGTTGGTTTCTTCTACTAAGTTTCTCTGTTGCTAAAACAAATTACCATAGTGGTTTAATCACTGAAAATTAGACTGTTAACAGGTGAAAACTCTTTTCCTTTTTAATTGTGTGCACAGGGAATGTCCATGTGGGCCATCACTGATGCGGTTTGGAGGCAAAGCAAAGGAGTACTCGCCAAGAGCCAGGATACGTTCTTGGATGGGGTACGTGGGCAGGGAAAAAGGTCTTTCAGTGAGATGGGAGGTTGGAGAAATGCGTCTGAAAACATGGTGTGGAATTAATTTAAAGATGTTTCAGATCTGGAATTGTAAGTTAGAATTGCCAGAAGATACAAGTACTAGTGGGGTCTTATGGACAATTAAATCTTGAACTGGACTCCCTCTCCCAGGTCCATAATACCCATTAAAATACCTCCATGGGCTGTTCCCTGTGCTCTCCAGGTACGAGCTGCCCTTTGATCGGCACGACTGGATCGTTGACCGCTGTGGGAAGGAGGTGCGCTACGTTATCGATTACTACGACGGCGGAGCGGTGGACAAGAACTACCAGTTCACCATCCTGGACGTGCGCCCTGCGCTGGACTCGCTCTCGGCCGTCTGGGACAGAGTGAAGGTGGCCTGGTGGCGCTGGACGTCCTGACTGCTCCTGGGGTGTGTACTCGCAAAGTGACTGCTTTGCTCCTAGACAATGGACGTGTGAATATCAGGACTTGAGACAGAAGTTTGCTGCAGCTGTCGTTGCTTTCATCATCACCACTCTTCTTTGGGGGTGGGAAGGGAGGACAGGGAAATCTTTCCTTAAGTACACCAATGCTTTATGGTGTTTCAAATGGAATAATAAAGTTACAGTGGCAAAAACATGTATCTTAATTTTCTTAAGAACTGGGAAGCCTTTCTTACTTTGTCTCAGATTCTGCATAAGCTCGCCTTCTTGCCATTTCATTACTTCAGTGCTGCTCTAAATACATTGCAATGTTGTTTCTGACTGGAGTTTTGAGTATTACTTCATTATTGAAAACTGGAAATTTCATAACTTATTTCACATTTTTAAAGTATTTGGATACCTCCGTGATGAATAAAGGGTAAAAGATCTGGACTCTTTCAAATTCCATGTTTTATTTACATAATAAAACCATGTATTTGTTTTCACATGGACATTTTACCTATTCAAATACATACTTCCTCAGAAAACTTCAGTTAATCAGTTAAAGGAGGTGTAGTGTGGTATGAGTATTTTAAAGGCATGTTATGTAGAAAAGGAGAATACACTCATGCCTTAATCTTTGAACTGAAGAACACCTGTTAGAAGCAGGAAATGAGTAACCCTTTTAAAACAGCATTTCTAAAAGGACAAAATTGATATTTAATGGCTATTTATTTGAATATTTAAAAGGTGGTTTTCTGATATAAAAAAATACATTATTACAGTGTTTTCCTGTCTGTAATTTGTGACGTGTAATGAATTCAGGACAGAGCCAAGCCTTATTTAACCTCCTGCAATGCATCTGCATTTGGCATCCTGGCTGCATTAATGATATTTATTACAGCATGGTTTTTTTTATATAATAAGGAATTGCACAAGGGGGTGTGACTACACAGCCACACACATGAGTATAGTGAGGTTTATTACAGGTGTGTACATAACCGGGCTAAAAGGGTATCAAAAGTGCCAAGGGAGGAGGTTGAGGAGTGTTTTCTAAGGGTGATGCATGGCGTAAAGATTTGATTATTGTTTGTGCTCAGTAAGGGAAACTAACTTTTTAAAGTCTTCCACTGTAATAGCTTTAAGTTTGCACAACTCAGTAAGCTTCAGGTGCTGTGCAAAACACTTGGGAATGGAAAGGAGTAAAAGAATAGCACATTGTACCTTCTCAGATGGGGGAAGCTGCCTTCTTGAAACTCCCCAACCTTAACGGGAAAGTAGCTGTACATTCCATTTTCTGGAAGTGGCCTACGTTTAACTGATACTGGAACTTTCCTTTCCTTTCCTTTCCTTTCCTTTCCTTTCCTTTCCTTTCCTTTCCTTTCCTTTCCTTTCCTTTCCTTTCCTTTCCTTTCCTTTCCTCTTTCCTCTTTCCTCTTTCCTCTTTCCTCTTTCCTCTTTCCTCTTTCCTCTTTCCTCTTTCCTCTTTCCTCTTTCCTCTTTCCTCTTTCCTTTCCTTTTTTCTTTTGATAGGAAGCCTCTCTTAATGTTTCAGGAAAGTCACTTCCCATTTAAGGAAAAATTAGGGAAGCTTTCCTACTTTGGAATTCTAATGATCACGACTAGTTCCCACTTCAGAGAGAACTGTTGTGCATGGTAGGAATAAATATCCAGAATCTTAAGAGGAAAACCGTGCTCTTACCCATATGCACTTTGCTCATACCTTTTTCAGTGATACAGATATATATATATATAGATATAGATATATATATATGATAAACGGTAAAAATTCCATCTAAATAGGCAATATATAGATGAGATAAATGAAAATAGAGTTTGTGTGAAGCAAATGAAGGAACTGACTCGTGAAGGAATTGCTCTGTTCTAACTAAAGATTGAGGAGTACTGTAAAGATTGAGGGGTACTCTTTTTGGGGTGTGGGTTGTTTTCCTTTGGGATTATTTTGATAGTTGTTAGTTTATGTATTTGGCAACTTGATACACTGAGGATTCTGTATTTCTCATAACTAAATATGGAAAGGCTACACCACTGTAGGTAGTACTTCAGAAGCTTCAAAAGCAGGAGTTTGCTTTGTTGATTTCAGCAGTGTGATGTTGAGAGTGGAAATTGTAATTGCTGCTACATCTGGGGAAACTGTCACAAGCCACTTCATGTGTTGACTATCACCTGCTACGTTCCATCTACCACAGATTCAAAATTGTTCTTTGCTACTGTTAATGAAATGTTCTACTTTGTCATCAAACTAAAAGGAGAATCAAATAAATATACTTTTCTTAACTTCGGTATTTGGTGATCATGCTTTTAGCTGTAAGAATTATTAAAATGAGCTTTTACACGTGTCATTTGAGATTCAAGTCTGTTACAACTAAAATCTTGCTATAGAGTATATATTTGATATTGTTACTATGTATTGTATATTACTGCAACTTAACTATTGTCACATCTTTGAATATATTCTTACTAATTTTTCAGGTGAATACAAAACCAAAACCCAATTCAAGTGTTTGCTAACTGAAACAGCAGTTCTCAGAATAAGAGCATATGACAAAAAATATATTCATCCTGAGTCTGGCTAACTTGAGAGGAGTGCAAGGAAATTAAAAAAAAAATCCTAGAAGACTAAATGAAAATAATTAATTTCTACAAGCAGTAAGACTTAAGAAAGTAAATGGAGTTTTCTTCTTTAGGCTTGGGTTTCTTGATGCATGATGCATAGATGTTAGAATTATAATTCCAATGTAAATTTGAAAAACAGTGATTTAAATTGCGCTCTTTTTTTAATCCTTAGGAAGGATGTTTTAACTAAAAAACTGTTGTTCAGGCTATATTAAAAGAAATATGTGTATATACATCAATAAATACATTTATATCCTTTTGTTGTAAGTATAGGAAGGTATGGAGAGTTCATGGAGCCCAAGAAAGTGAAGAAGTATCCTGATCAAGTCCTTTCAGGGAATTCTGCAGTGATATCAGGTTCCCAATCATGGTCAGGCTGAAACAGAATTTTGGAACCTGTCTCAAACTGAGGTTTTCCAAAGGGAAAATGCAGACACTTGCTAAAGAAAGGCTGCTTCTATAATTAGTTCTGTACTGAGATATCTAAAGTTCACCTGTGTTCTGCTTTACTGTATCAAAGCCCTGCTTGACCTATTGTGTTTGGCTCTTGCAGATGAAACAAGTTAGGGGTGCCCTCCTGGCCTGCCCTGAAGATGTGTTCTTAAGGGTGTCACAGTGCCCAGAAACCTCACTCTCTGGGACTGGTGGAAAAGGACTCCAGCATAACATGCCCAGCTGCAATCAGGCCTTGGGTCATGCACATGCAGTCAGGAGTGGTTCTGACCTTGATTTCCTGGAGCAGGAAGCCATTCTGCACTCAGGTAGGGGTTTTGGCTCCCCTGCACTGGGGTGCCTGGCACTGCTGCCACTCCACAGAGGCACCAGACTGCCTGCTCTGCCTCCAACACCCTCCTGCTCAGTCACGAGGGACCAGCTCTCTGCTCTTCTGCAGTTTGTCCTGTTAGTATCTGGCCAACATGAGTGCTCTGTAACTGGGGAGTAATTCAGAGGCTGATCTTTCTGGAATGCCTGGAGTTCCTGACTCTCTTGAGTCATCCTGCATTTTTCCCTTGGAGGTAGTTTGGAAGGGGGTGCTGTAGCTCTTCTAGCATTCTTCATTTGTTTTTTTTTCCTCCTGCCCCCTAGAAACACCTTTGCTCCTTCCTTTCATACTATGCTCATGTCCTAACTTCAATCCCTCTAAGAATTTTTCAGCTAAGCCTTAAAATATCTGCCCTGCTTTGCTGTAAAAGAAAGAGACTGTGTTGCTATAAGATAGTTGTGTCCATTCTTGATTGTTGCTACTTTCTACTGCCAAAGCAAAGTGTTCTGGATTACCATTTTGAATTATGAAGTGAAAGAGGCATGCTAGTTTAGTGTGAAATTTTGTCTAGTGTTTACATAATTTATTTACCATCAGGACTTTAATGTGCTCTGTAAATCTGAAGTCTCAAATGCACTGATGAATACTGTTCTGCTTTCATAAGGTGTGAGAGTGACAAAGGACCCCTCAGTGCTCTGAAAATGGTCATAAATAGTCTGTCATCTTACACACTCCCATTGTGTTTGTTCCATTCTTGTATCAAAATGTGGGGGAAGAGGAGCTAATGTGCCAAATTGCAAGAGATGAAGGCAGGTACATTGCTGTAGCTCAGCAGCTAAAAATGAACTGCCAGACTAAGAAGCACTTCCTAATATTTGGACTTCTACTGAAGTTTGTTTTTTATAGAGGGTAGAAATGCCTCTTTCAGAGCCATCCCTCTTTAGAGACTCCCAGCACTTACTAAATGATATGGCATGCTAATTCTCTGTCTCTTTTGCTTACACCTGGAGGAGAATTCATGTAGTAAGGTTCTACAAGCCAGTGTACTTCATGTGGAAGCTGAACTTTCCAAGGATAGAATATACTACTCGATGCTAGATGTGGTTATCACTTCAGTATCATACCCTTCCCTACCCACAAGTATTTTTACATATGTTCTTTTTTAAAATGCACAAGATTGCTAGCTTTTTACAACTTTTGAGTAGGCAACTTCATGCATTTTTTCTCTCACTGAAAGAAAATGTATTCTGTTTATCATTCTACCTTTGTACAAGGTAAATTGCATGCTAAGATCTTTATGCAGTGAATCAAATAAGTATTGATTCTCTCATCAGTGGAATCTATGGTCATATTAGACATGTCAGGTCATAAAAAGCAACCATTTTAGTTTGCATTAGAGGGCTAATCACTTTTATGTGCTTCTCCTTCAAGAAAAAATGGCTTGTCAAACTCCTAAAGGAAGAATTTTATATTCTTCTATGAATGTGACAGTTACATCTATTTGGTCTTACTACTTGTACCTCACATTACATAGAAACTTCTGGGCAGAATACTGGACTGCAGACCTTACTGTGGGGCCTTGGCCATGTGTGAAATGACACATTATAACCAGAGAGCCCCGGATTGGGATGGCAGCTCCCCACAATCCAGGTCTGCCTATCTGCAGTGTGGGTACATACTGACTAGAGTCAGAATGAATCCAATTTTCCAAGGATTATATAAGTTTATTGGAAGTATTAGGATAGTTATTAGACTTCATTAATAAAATTTAAAAGATTAGATTGTTTCTTTTGCTGGTTCAGTTTGGACCATGGCCTCTCTCATAAAACAGAAACAATCACATGTTTTCTACATATTATGGGGAAAAAAGACTGTCATGTTTTTGTTTTCCAGTGTTATGCCAATTTTGTAGTAACTACAGAAAGTTTTAGCTATTTTGCTAACGTGCTGCTGTTCTTGCCTCCAGCTTCTGAAGACTATGACCCCATAAACCTCCTGTCTGCAGAGATAGCTAATGCTTTAATTGATCATTAGTACACTTTCAAAATGAGTTTCCATCTGCCAAAAGATTAAGTGTCTCAGGGAATTGACTGAGAGCAGTTTGATGTATGGAGGATAAATGCAAGTGCCTTTAAAAAGCACTGCTAGATCACAAATTCTTGAAAAACTTGCTTCTAAAAGCAAGGAAAAGTAATAGGAAAGGTTTTCCCTCTGCTTTGTTTTTACCTCAAATTAAGTATTTTTTTATACATCATTGAGAATTTGTTACCTCATTTTCAAGAACTGAAAAGCAAAACCTCATGAAAATGCTGAATTTAACCTTACAGCAAACCATGTAATTTTTGGCAGCTTTAATTTGCAATACAAATTTTTTGTTAAATAGGTTCATTTCAACTGTAAAAAACAAAAACAAAAAACAAAAAAAAGGGAGAAAAAATAAACTTTTCCACTAGCTGTACTTAAGAATATTAGGAGAAAAATACTTCCATGTTTTATCATGTATTTTCACAATTACTGGGATTGCTTCTCTGTCTGTTTTCTTCAAGCTTTTGCCTTAGTTTATTTGGAGAGATTTTTACAGGTTTCCTGTTGGTTTCTCTGCCATTTTTGTACAAGGCACTTTGGGAAAGACTTCTACCACTGCAATAGCACTTAAAGTTGTTATGAGAGAAATGGTTCTTTCTCAGGTCTCTGAAGAAGCAGTGCTATTTAACTCGGGTAAGGACAGTTCTGGCTCTGCCATTCTGGCTGCATTAGAGCTGGCAGCACTGTTGTATCAGGAAATATGGGCACGGCAGCTGTCCTGCAGCAGTGCCAAAAGGCAGAGGTGCTGCACTGGTCAGCTGTCACCTTTGCTGTGGTTATGGGTTCCTCATTAGTGCTGGTCTTGTGAACCCCAAATGGGCAACTGCAGTGACCTCTAGACTTCCCAGTGTCCTTTAACACCTTCTGGAGGAAGTGCTTTTAGCACCGCCTGCAGCTACCATCGAGGAGGTGGCAAAGGGGCTGGCATGGAATTGATGGTAAAAAGATACAGATGGATCTTCCAAATTTACTGTTTTCCAAATGTCTATCTACTCCTGTGGGAGGATGGATTGCAGAGGAATAAGAGACAGTGCTAAAGGCAATCTCACCCCTGAGGGGGTGCAGCTGTGCTAATTACCAGGGATTAAGAACAGGCCCACCCTTAATAGGACACAGGTATCTCCAGTGAGGCTGTGTGTCATAAAAGGGTGGGCTAGCTGGTTGAGAGAGTGTGAGTCAGTTGGCTGTGCTGTGGTGAGGAGCTGCCCAGGAGATAGCATAAAGAAGGTATGAAAGTTTTACAGTATGGCAATGATGTACTCCTCCTCTGATTTGGTACTCAGGTTAGGGGAAAAACTGGTCCAAATGCCCCATTTTATACATATTCACTAGTGGTTGTTGAAACAACACCCGGTTGAGGCTGTAATTATAGTGAGTGGAAGGTAAAGGATACTGGTTTTGCCAATAACCCTGGGAAGATTAATCTAACCTATGTATGAAAGGTTGCATTCTGTTTGCCTTGTCAGGCAAAGTGGAAGATACTGGTGTCACAATCATTCTGTGACAGGATGTTGGAACTGGCTTCATATAAGCTGACTAAGAAGTGAAACTTTTCTTTTTTGATTTTATTTGCTGCATGTTGATGGGAAGTATCCATTTAGAGAATGTGCCTAAAATTCCATCAAACAATTCAATGCTTGAAGAAATAAAGAAAGAGGGGAAATAAGATCTTGACTTTCAATTTCATAATAATGCAATATGAAGGCCAGATTGTAACTGTAGATGTTCATTTCAAATTTAAATATTTAGCATTTTCAGTTGTCTGTGAATACACGAAAATTTATTACATTAAGATGGAATTTAGATCTTTGAC